CTCTCTCTCTTTCACTGTCCATCTGTCTCCCACACACACTATATCATGTAAGTAAAGTATAAAAGATAGTGAATGGAGGGAGGGAAGTGAAAATAGGGGAACCTGTTTTCCCCCGTCATGATTTGAAGTCAGGTCTCTTCACATCTCAGAAGAGTTCTGGATCATTTTAGGAGTAAGAATGTAGGTAGAAGCTGTGGATTGGGGTGAGATGCTTTGATGGTTCTACCCCCTGAGTGCCGCCCTTGCCCCGTGTGGTTTGCCCACGCTCCACTCTGAGTGATTCCCAGAGTTGGGAATGGGAATCACTCAGAGTGGAGCGCGGGCAATTTGATTTTCTGCTTCATTTATGAAGAGTGTTACACTTGTCTTCCTGACTTGGTCATCTCCTTCAGACAGAGACTCTATTTTATATTTCTCTTATATGTGACACAGTGCAAAGAAAACTTATTTACTGTGTGTTAATCCCTTATTAAATCCTCATTACTAAGAGATTGAATTTGACAATTGTATAGCAACAGTGAGCTAAGAAACATTTAGTTGGGATGAGCTAACCCACTTTGCTAGCTGTGTTTATTCACTAAAACTGGTTTTTAATTACTCCACCTAAATGGTATGGCTTATCATGGTTCATGAGATATTTTTTGATAGTCTCTAAGGATTTCTCTTTTTTAAGATTATTTATTTACTTGACACAGAGCACAAGCAGGGGGAGTGGGAGAGGGAGAAGCAGGCTCCCTACTGAGCAGGGAGCCCGATGCGGGGCTCAATCCCAGGACCCTGGGATCATGACCTGAGCCAAAAGGCACATGGTTAACGGACTGAGCCACCCAGGCGCCCCATCTTTGAGGATTTCTTTCAAAGTTTTGATCCAATTCACTGTTTGCTGTAGTGAAAGTAAACACTCCTACACCTTAGCTATTTTAGAGTGGTTGGCCAAAATTCAGTGCATTCTGGATTTTTCTTGATTTGGGATTTTCATCTTTGGGGAATGCAAAATTCTGTGTATATCAAATGCAAGTGTAATACTTCTCTTCATATGGGAAATTTTATAAATAATCGAATTTGTGTTCTCCAGTTGGTCTATGTGAAACATGAAAATGTGACATAAAATTCATATATATACCTAACAACTTCATTGCAAAGCAGCGAAAGCGAAATGGCTGGGATAAAACTGGAATTTAACCTAAACTGGAAGAAGACAATAAACCATCCATGATGGCTGTCAAACCCATCCCACGGAGTCATTTTGCCGTAAACTTTATGTGATGCAGACATTTTATGAAACGCTGATTTCATTTTTGTTTCTAACAAAAAGCAGTTGAGATAACTGAATGACTCAGTAATTTGCAAAAAACTTTAACATGCTAGGGAAGAGCTCTTCAGAGTGCAGGAAAGGAGGTGGACATTCTCAGAAGGGATTATGAAACGGGCCATATGACTGCTTCAGACGGACATGCCTTAACCATAAAATGGAATTGAAGTTAGCCGTGTCACATACTCAAATTTGACTAATAATTTGACTGCAAATTATTAGTAATAATCTTAAAATCTTAAAATCTTAAAAATGTTAAAAACTTAAAGTAACAGAAAAATATCACTTAAAAAGGTTTCAAAGAAATTAGTATAAACAGAAAAGTTCCTACATGCAATGATGAAATTTAAGAAAATGATAAAATATAATTTTCTGAATATGACTACATGTCCTGTGATCTTTAAGATTAAACATCCTATATAATCTTTTAGTGAAACATTCTTCAAGTGAAATATTTATAAAGACTATTAAAATTATACTATTAGACAAAATGAAAATTAGTTAAATGCAACTTTGCAGATATTTTTGAATATGTTAAAAAACTATGGTATCCATAAATGTATCCAGACTTTGGAAATACCTAAGATAAACAAGCTCTTAATAAATCTATGAGTTAGGGCACGGAATATCAGTAAATTATTTTATTTAGGGAATCTAGCACCAGTTAGTATATGATACACTAATGTATTTTAGTGCCTTTTTGACCACAGAACTTACTATACACATGAAATGCTCTTTTTAATAGGACTAGTGTATTATAAACACTACTTCATTTATTGAAAGCATTCAACTCAGTGTGCAATACTTTATGCAGCTGTTCCCACACTTGAATTTGCAAGACCTAGGGATCTTGTTCAAATATAGATCTGATTCATTAAGTCTGGGGTGGGGCCCGGGATTCTGCATTTCTGATGAGCTCCCAGAGGATGCCAATCCTACTTGTCGGGAGATGACATTCAGAGTAACAGGTTATAAAGAATAGAAAATATTTAGGACAGAAATTCACAATGAATGTGTTTAGATTTCTCTGTTTTTATGGGCTTCAGTTCTTTAATTTGCTAATTTACTTTTGATGCCAGGAATATTTTATATCAATTTATTAAATTTTATTTAAGCATGTATTAAAATTAGTAATTTTGTTTCCTAATAACTCTTCTGAAGTGATAAGTGTTAAGTATTATTTGATAACATTACTTTCCCAGTTGGAGAGGCTGATGCAGGAGTTCTGAGCTGTCGTCTTTGCTCTGATACCCATTTAGCAATGTGACCTCAGGCTAGATATTCAGCTCCCTAGGCCTCAGTCTCCTCAGATCAGAGGTTTTCAAATATTTGCTTTCAGAAATCAGAGTTTGATTTAATGCAATCCCTATCAAAATACCATCAACTTTTTTTCAAAGAAATGGAACAAATAATCCTAAAATTTGTATGGAACCAGAAAAGACCCCGAATAGCCAGAGGAATGTTGAAAAAGAAAAGTAAAGCTGGTGGCATCACAATTCCGGACTTCCAGCTCTATTACAAAGCTGTCATCATCAAGACAGTATGGTCCTGGCACAAAAACAGACACATAGATCAGTGGAACAGAATAGAGAGCCCAGAAATGGACCCTCAACTCTATGGTCAACTAATCTTTGACAAAGCAGGAAAGAATATCCAAGGGAAGAAAGACAGTCTCTTCAACAAATGGAGTTGGGAAAATTGGACAGCCACATGCAAAAGAATGAAACTGGACCATTTCTTTACACCACACACAAAAATAAACTCAAAATGGTTGAAAGACCTAAATGTGAGACAGAAGTCCTTCAAAATCCTTGAGGAGAACACAGGCAGCAACCTCTTTGACCTCAGCCACAGCAACTTCTTCCTAGAAACTTTGCCAAAGGCAAGGGAAGCAAGGACAAAAATGAACTATTGGGACTTCATCAAGATAAACACCTTCTGCACAGCAAAGGAAACAGTCAACAAAACCAAAAGACAACCGACAGAATGGGAGAAAATATTTGTAAATGACATATCAGATAAAGGGCTAGTATCCAAAATCTATAAAGAACTTATCAAACTCAACACCCAAAGAACAAATGATCCAATCAAGAAATGGGCAGAAGACATGAACAGTCATTTTTCCAAAGAAGACATCCAGATGGCCAACAGACACATGAAAAGGTGCTCAACATTGCTCGGCATCAGGGAAATCCAAATCAAAACCTCAATGAGATACCACCTCACACCAGTCAGAATGGCTAAGATTAACAAGTCAGGAAACAACAGATGTTGGCGAGGAGGCAGAGAAAGGGGAACCCTCCTACATTGTTGGTGGGAATGCAAGCTGGTGTAGCCACTCTGGAAAACAGTATGGAGGTTCCTCAAAAAGTTGAAAATAGAGCTACCGTACAATCCAGCAATTGCACTACTGGGCATTTACCCCAAAGATACAAATGTAGGGATCCAAAGGGCACGTGCTCCCCAATGTTTATAGCAGCAATGTCCACGATAGCCAAACTATGGAAAGAGCCTAGAAGTCCATCAACAGATGAATGGATAAAGAAGAAGTGGTATATATATATACAGTGGAATATTATGCAGCTATCAAAAAAATGAAACCTGGATGGAACTAGAGGGTATTATGCTAAGCGAAATAAGTCAATCAGATGAAGACAATTATCATATAATCTCACTGACATGAGGAATTTGAGAAACAAGACAGAAGATCATAGGGGAAGGGAGGGAAAAATGAAACAAGATGAAACCAGAGAGGGAGACAAACCACAAGAGACTCTTAATCTCAGGAGACAATCGGAGGGTTGCTGGAGTGGAGGGGTGTGGGAGGGATGGGGTGGCTGGGTGATGGAGATTGGGGAGGGTATGTGCTATGGTGAGTGCAATGAATTGTGTAAGACTGATGAATCACAGACCTGTACCCATGAAACAAATAATATATTATATGTTAATTAAAAAAAAAATCAGTTTGTTCTTCAAATGACCACTAGTGAAACTGGGCTGGGAGTCTGCACCCACTAGAAGCACAGCCATCTTATAATAATTAGACTAGCATCAACATATGAATGCTAATAACCATCCATGGAGAAACACTGTTCTGTCAGTTTTGTTAGTTTTGTTTTTATTAGTTTTAAGCTTCTTTTAATTTGTTCTGAAGGTACTTTTTTGGAAGTATGGTGTTTTTTTTCTAATGGAATTTTTTTTTTTTTTTAAAGAAATTAGTTGAACTCCTTCCCCAACTTTGTCTTCTATCTTTTTTTTTAAGATTTTGTTTATTTTTTTGAGAAAGAGAGAATGAGAGAGAGAGCATGAGAGGGGGGAGGGTCAGAGGGAGAAGCAGACTCCCCACTGAGCAGGGAGCCTGATGCGGGCCTCGATCCCGGGACTCCAGGATCATGACCTGAGCCGAAGGCAGTCGCTTAACCATCTGAGCCATGGAAATGTGAGGCATTTTTGTATACAAGTTTTGCACATCTCCACACTGGCATTAGCTATGCACCATCTCTACAGTGAACTTGCTAAGCATTTAATTGTTATGAGTCATGAGTCATAGTCATAGGGTTATGCGGTGTCCATAAGCCTAAAACCAAATACAAAATATTTTTTAAAAAAAATTTGGTTGTGTAAAACCTTGGTTTCAAACATTTGTTTTTATACAAATAATAAAATAACCACTGTTTTCTCTTTTTAGAATCAAGTCACTTAGAACAACAACTTGAGGAAGCCAACTCTGTGAGGAGAGAGCTAGATGATGCTTTTCGACAAATCAAGGCTTATGAAAAACAAATCAAAACACTACAACAAGAAAGGGAAGAATTAAACAAGGTAAAAATATATGGATAGATTTTTAAAGCTGCTTTTGGATTTTTCACCTTGTTTAATTTGTATCCTGAAAGCTTTCCTAGTGAATTACAATAACCTAATGTATATTTTGTCTGTAAAATGTTGGTTTAAAAATTTAAGAATTATTTTGGTGTATGTCATTTGATTAATAGCTAGTAATGAAATTTTTATATTCTCAAGATTTTAAAGTTCAGAATCATTTGTTCTTTTGAAAAGTTAATAATCAAAGGACTTGATTAAAAGTAAATGTTATTGAAAAATATAAAAAAGAATAAGCAAATAGTAAGTCATGCTTAGTATCTAGGGAAAAATAAAAAATGTGGACATATTTTCATTGTGATTTGCTGATATGAACATTCTTAAAAGATTATAATAAAAAATTTTTTTCAGTGTTTTAATTATTTTTTAAAATGTCAGTTTATCTTTCAAAGCATGGATGAACAAGCTAAAGTTATTTTCATAAGAACTTTTTGTAACACTCAAACAGTATTTGTGAATATCAACAAAATTTATTAATAGCAAAGACACTCTTAACACATCCAGTAGGGCAAATAATATTCAAGCACCAGAGAAGAATACTTTAAACCACTCAGTGTATGTACTTTGCCTTTCATAAACAAGTAAAAAAATGTTGGAATTAATACTAGCCAACACAATAAAGAAATGAGTGGCTTATGGCATAGTATATAAATTGTATTCAATGATATAGTATATAATTGATAATGTAATGAATTTCCTTTGGGGGAAGATTTTAAAGTCTTGCTGCCAGTAAAGAAATGGAGGCAATTAAAAATAGAACAAATAACCTTTTGCTGAGGAAGCTAATCAGAAAGACTAACAGAAAAACTATATAAGGGTTAAATTGAATTAGATTAGTATATTTTTACTTTTTTCTTAATGCAATTACAAACAATGTGGTGTACAGACCCATTTAAATTCATGGCCAATCTAATAATAATTCGAATTTATAACATGTTCTATTTTTTAGTAATATTATAGTAATATTATTGGTAATTATTTATTAAATGTAGGATTATTCAGCCAAACTTAGTAAACATAAAAAGGATGAGAATCTGATATCTAGATTATATTATAGTAACATATATCTTGGCAATTTTAATAAGTTTTAATATTAAAAATCCTTTTAGTATATTTTGAGAAGGTAGTGCTATAAGGAAGCATTATATTCATAAAAAATTTTAAGTGATTTGCTTAATATCCTACAGGCAGCAGATACTCCTTTTAAGATATTTTTCATTTGATACATTTAAAAGAATAAATATAACATTATATAAGTTTTGATGCAAATAATATAACACACACCTCTGAACCTACCATCTAACTTAAGAAATAGAACATCACCAATTTTGTGGCATAGCCCTGGCGAGTCTTTTTTTTTTTTTTTTTATCCCTTTCTCCCTACTTCCCTGAAAATGGTAATCACTGTTCTAAATTTTATGTCAATCATTTCCTTATTGAAAAAAATTTTTATTACATATTAGTATATCTCTAAACAGTATATCATATATAATAAAATAAATGTATGTGGTGACAGATGGTAGCTACATTTCTCATGGTGAGCACTGAGTAATGGATAGAATTGTCGAATTACTATGTTTACACCTGAAGCTACTGTAACATTGTATGTTAATTATACTCAATAAAAATAAATACAAATGCCAGTGCCAAATACTGAAGATGAGATTATAATTTGATATATTATTTTTGGAAAGCTAATTTGCAATAAGTATCCAAAGCCTTAAAATACTGAAATACTTGGTATAGTGAACTCCATTTGTCAAAATTTAAGAAGATAACCAGCTGTTCAAACAAAGATTTGCTCACCAAGAAATTTCTCACCACATTTATAAAAGAAAAATATTAGAAAAAACTGAAATGCCCAACCAATTCATATGATGGAATAGTGTGGCTTGGTGGCTAAAGAATTTTTAATGCCATAGGAAATTAAAAATATATATATAAGTGTTGCTTTTTTCCGAGCCTTATAAAATGGTATATGCAATTTTTTGCAGTTTGTTTTTTTCACTCATTATATTTGTAAGATTCATCCATATAGCTATAAAGCATTCATTTAGTTGCTGTATAGTATACCATTACGTGAACACTCCGGAATGTACTTATTCCATTTTTTGTGTATAGACATTAAGGTTGCTTATACTTGGCAACTACTGTAAATGAACATTCTTGAATGTATATGCTGATATGCACACACTTGCATATACAAACACGAGTAGAATAATTGGGTCATAAGTAATGAAGATATTCTGTTTTTTATAATAATGCCCCAAATCATTTTCTGCTGATTATACCTATTTATACTTTCACTCCCACCACGTAGTGTTTATTCAACAATACTTCGTATTACTAGATATATTATTTTGGCCAACCTAGTTGAAATTGATATTTTAGTTCTAGAATTATGTTTTGTTAATAAGGTCTTAACTTCTCTAATTACTAATGAGGTTGAGTATCTTACATATGCCCATTTATCATTTATATTTCTTCTCTTGTGAAATGCCTCTCGGTATCCTTTGTATATTTTTCTGTTGAGATGTTTGTCTTATTGGTTGGTTAAGAATTCTTGAAAATTTCTATATTAATCTTGTCAGTTGTGTGTTACAGATATCTCCCAGTTAGTGGCTTGTCTTTTCACTTTCTTTATGGAAGTTCTTAGTTTTAGTGTAGTCAAGTCTTTCAGTCATTCTTTTTAAAGTTTTGCTGGCTTGTGTAAGAAATCTGAGGTTAAAAATTCTGTTTTTTTGTAAAGTGTTCTGTTTTTATTTTGAAGTTTTAAAGTTTGTTCTTTCATCTTTAAATTTTTAATACACCAGAAATTTATTTTTTCATATCATGTGAGATAAGGATCCAATTTCAGTTTTTCCTGTGTATCTAACCAGTTGTTCATTTACTAAATAGCCCCTCTTTTCCACAGTGATGTGCAAGTTAACCACTGTCATATATTACATTTCCATTTATGAATGAGTCTGCATCTCATTCCTTAAAAACTGTGATGAGATTTTGATTAAAATTGCATTAAATCTGTAGAGTAATTTGAGGAGAATTGACATCATTACAGTATTGAATCTTTAAGTTCTTACTATCTTACTAAGTTCTTACTTAAGTTCTTACTATCTGTGTTTATTAATATTATTCCAAATGCACACACAGATTTCAAGAGCAGAACGTAGTATTGTGATGTACGTAGAGCAGAAATAACCACATCCCTCCTCTGTGTGCTAATTCTTACCTCAGGTAGCAATGCAATGAGAGCTGGATAAACAAAACCCTACGTATATGGAGTCTATGTTGTGAATGTGAGGAACCCCGAAAAAGTGAGTCAGGGTGTTTATATAAAGGAGAGTGGTGGATGCTTCCTACTTCCCCCCTCATCTCCACCTACCCTTCTGAGAGTCTCCTTGGAAGTGTAAAGAGAAGGATCTAGGACTCTTTGAAATATAAATAAATCACTTCAGTGGAAAGATAAGCCTAGAGTCTCAGGCTCTATAAAGAGGATCGCTCCCTGATCCAGGCTCCTCTCTCTCTCCCCACCCCTGTTGAAGTATAAGCACATACATCCAGGAGCTAAATCTCTTTGGAGTTTCTCACACTAAATTAGTCAGAAATTACAAGGCTTGCTTTTTAGCCCAGGTCCCAAGTTTCAGTAAAATTTGTTTACAAAGGCCTATCTGTAGAAAAATATAAAAATATTTTATCTAGAGCCCCACAGTCTTTCTATCCACAAACATGGTGTATCTCTCCATATCTTTAAGATCTTTTAAAATGTTTTTTCATGTAATTTTATGCATGTCTTATTTGCCTTTAGATTTATTCTATTTTTTCATATTTTAAATGGTATCTTTAAAATTATATTTTCTTACTAATTTTGTTCCAGCAACATTGCTAAATTCTTATTAATTGTACTAATATATTTGAGATTCTTTATGGTTCTCTGCAAATAATGACAGTTTTGTTTCTTCTTTTGGTTTTTATGACCTTTCTTTCTTTCCTTGTCTCACTGTATTAGCTAGAACCCACAGTACAATGTTGACTAGAACTCGTGATAGCAGGCTTCCCTGTCTTATTCCTGATTTCAAAGAAAATGCCTTTACTGTTTCACCACTAATAATGTTTTCTGTAAGTTTTTGGTAATACTTTTTATCAGGTTAAGAAAGTTATCTTCTATTCCTATTTTGTAATCATTTTTATCAAGAATGGGTATTGGACTTATTAAATGTGCTTCTCTGTACACTATTGCAACCAATTTCTAGGAATTTGTTAATATCTATTGATGTAATTAAATGATTATTCTTTAATAACTTGGTTTGGTAAATTACGTTGACAGACTTTTTCTAATGTTAAACCATTTTTGCATTTCTGGGTTAAACCTAAATTGCATGGGTATTATCTCCTAAATAATAATATGCCGTTACATGTAACACTTATGTAATAGCACTATAATTGGAGTGCTTTGCATATATCAGATCATTTAATCTTTATAAGAGCCTTGTGATTTAGGTATTATTATTATGATGATTATGATTGTTCTCATTTTATAAATGGTGAGACCAAGCACAGAGAGGTCAAATACACTTGCTCAAGTTCATAGAGCTAGAAAGTGGTGGAGCTGGAATTTCAACACAAGGAGTCTATCCAGGGTTAATGCTTATCTATGTCACTGGAGTTGATTTGCTAATGTCTTTTTTTGTTGTTGGATTTTTGTTTTCATCAATATGATTGGCTTGTAATTTTTTTCTCTTCTGGTGTTTTTGTGATATCAAGGTTATACAGGTCTTATAGAAAGAGTTGGGTAGCATTGCCTCTTTTTCTCTTTGTAAAAGTTTGTATAAGAGAAATGTTTATTCCTTGAAACCCTGGAAGAATCACTTGTGAAACCATCTGAGTTTGGAAATTCTCACTGAGGGGATGGGGAAAGTTTGTTGACTATTGATTTAGGTACTTTAATTATTATAGGGCTATTTAGGCATTCTATTTCTTTGTGAAACAGTTTTGATAAATTGTATTTTTGTAGGAATTCGTTCATTTCAGAAGCTAACAAATTTATTGGCATAAAATTTTCATTATATTTTCATTAGCTTTTTTGATTTCTTCCAGATTTGTAGTTATAACCTTTTTCGTTTCTTAATATTATTTCTTTTTGCATTTATTATTCTCTCCTTGTTTGATCTCACCTGATGTTTGCCTGTTTTATTCTCTCAAAGAACCATCTTTTGCCTTTGTTGATGTTCATTTTCCCAACATTTCTCTTTTTTAGTTTATGTCCTGATTTTTATTATCTTCTCATGTTGGCAGAAGCATTAATGGGTTCTATCTCTTTTTATGTGGAATTTCATTGAATTTAAACCGTTATTTAAGTTTCAATGCAAGTATTTCAAGCTATAAATCTCCCTTTAAGTAAACCTTTTACTGCATCCTCAAGTTTTAATATATCTACTAAACATTTTTATTGTTTTTTGTTATTTTCACTTTGTTTTTAGTTCTAAATATTTTAACATTCTTTATGACTTTTCTCCTTCACCAGTGAGTTATTATGGAATTTAGCCTTTTTTACCTTTGATTTCTATTTTAATAGTGATGATTTTAAAGAACTTGATCTTTAATATCTGTTCTTTGAAATTTGCTGAGACTTGTTTCATGGCCTAGACAGTTAACATTTTTTATTTTTTACTTATTTTTATTATTATTTTTTAAGATTTCATTTTTAAGTAATCTCTACACCCAGCGTGGGACTTGAACTTACAACCCTGAGATCAGGAGTCACACACTCTACCAACTGAACCAGCCAGGCACCAACAATTTTTAAATGTTCACTATGTGCTTGAGAAGAATAGGGTGCAAGCTTCTACATACGAAGCTTGATCATCTTCTCTATATTCACTATTTTTTAACTGCTTGTTTTATCTATTAATGATTGTCAAATCGAAATTTCTCATTATGGTCATGTGTTTACCAATTTTTCTATGATGTTCTTGGCAATTTCTTCATAATTTATTTTGAGTCTGTCTTGTGGAATGCATAAAAGTTTAGAATAGCATTTCTTTCTGGTGTTGAATTTTATCATTGCGTAGGACATTCTCTATCCTTAATAATAATGCTTTTTCTATTAACGTCTAGATATTATTTTTTTAATTTGGTATAACAAATTTGGCCCTTTTATATTTATTTTGAGTACTAATGTGTATAGACATGTTTCTACCAAGTTACTTTCTGCTTTGTGTTTGTCATGCTTTTTCTGTGCCTATCTTTGTTTCCTTTCTTGCCTTTTTAATATTGTGGTAAAATACATATAATATAAAATCTTTCCTAACCATTTTTAAAAATGTACAGTTCAGTAGTGTAAAGTACATTCACATTGTTGTGCAATGAATCTCCAGCATTTTTTCATCTTGCAAAATTTTTTCTTGAATTTTAATTGAAGTGGGGTTTTTTTGTTTTTCTTCCCACTTTACTCACTACTTGTTTTAACAGTTTCTAGTAGCTGCTCTTGAGTTTTATCATGCATAGTTAACAAAGTCTGAATTTAATATCTGAAACCATACCTCCCAAATCTTTAGCTCTGTTATGTCTTCCCAACATTGGTGGTGTTTTTTACTAATGTTTTACTTATATCCTTTTTGTTTACTGTCCAGATGAGACGTTTTTTATAATGCAGTCTCATTCACTTGTTTGTTTAACATTCACATTTATGTTTATCAGTTTCCTAGTCCTCCATTTCTCTGTCATTATACTTTGCTTTTAAAATTATTTTTCTTTTTCCTGAAGTAAATCTTCAGAGGTTCTTACTTAGTGGAGATCTGATTGTGATAAGCTCTGTCAGTTTTGTTTATATGAATCTAATTATTTAGCCTCCTACTTGAAAAGGAATTTTTCTGGTTATACAATTTTAATTACTTTCTTATCTCATTAGAAACATTTCCCCCTGTTTCTGCTGTTACTTCTTAGTCTATCTTTTTTTGTTTTTGTTTTTGAGGGTGGAAAAGAAGTGATTTGTCTTTTATCACTGATTTCTTTTAAGGACATTTACTTTTATTTGGTGCTACACAATTTTATTTTTTAAAAGTTTCTGGATTTGAGCTTTAACATTTTTTCTTGATTCATAAATGTGGAGCTTACTGCATTAATGAATTCAGGTCTTTAATTTTAAGACTTATATTTTTACATTTCTAAATGTTCTACACAGTTGTTTTATAAATCTGGCTGGTCATTTTTAATAGTCTTTTGTCATTTTCCCATTAAATTGATTTCTTTTTACTTCCTCACATGTTTCATACATACAAATTTTTTGTTAATATTTTATAATTCTAATGTCCAAATACCATTGGAGTTTGTTTTTATTGTTTCTGTTCTTTCCTTATGGTTGTTTGTTCTTTGGGTGTTTGGGAATTTGTGGTAGTGAGCTCATATTACCGTGCTCATAAAAATCCTACATTTCATTGAGGCTCTTTACTCAAAAATGGTTTGCATTTCCTTTTGCCAGAAAGCAGACTTGAGTGCTTTAACTCCCTCTAAGTTTCTCACTTTGATCCGGGAGTTTATTTAGCTTTCTCTCCTTGCTTCTGGCCTAAGGCTTAGTCTCCACATAAGAGCATTCCTTGTTTTTTTTATCACTTGTAATGGTTCAGTATAATTTTTTAAAATCTCACAAATATCCATTCCATTTCACAAATCTTTATTTTTTTTATTTTTTTATTATGTTAATCACCATACATCACATCATTAGTTTTTGATGTAGTGTTCCTTGATTCATTGTTTGTGCATAACACCCAGTGCTCCACGCAGAATGTGCCCTCTTTAATACCCATCACCAGGCTAACCCATCCCCCCACCCCCCTCCCCTCTAGAACCCTCAGTTTGTTTCTCAGAGTCCATAGTCTCTCATGGTTCATCTCCCCCTCCGATTTACCCCCCTTCATTTTTCCCCTCCTGCTATCTTTTTCTTCTTTTTTTTTTTTTTAACATATAATGTATTATTTGTTGCAGAGGTACAGGTCTGTGATTCAACAGTCCTACACAGTTCACAGCGCTCACCATAGCACATGCCCTTTATTTTGGCCATCATATCTGGTGTTCCTATACTCTATTTACTTGTAGAATCTGAGGTACTGGCAGATTAAATCAGCTGTTCATCACAGTTAGCATGTTAGCATCAGGAATCGAGACTAATAACAGAGCACCCTGCTATTAATATCTGTTCAGAAGTAGTTGCCTTCTTTTAATTTTGTCCTCAGATGAGTAATTTTGGCTCTTCTTGACTTCATGATAGCTACTTTGATGGCCAAAATTGGTCCCTAGGTTGCAGAATTGGTAACTTTATTCTTTTTACAAAACTGTAGGAACTAGTCCAGGCTAGTGAGCGATTAAAAAACCAGTCCAAAGAGCTGAAAGACGCACACTGTCAGAGGAAACTGGCCATGCAGGAATTCATGGAGATCAATGAGCGGCTAACAGAATTGCACACCCAAAAACAGAAACTTGCTCGCCATGTCCGAGATAAGGAAGAAGAGGTGGACCTGGTGATGCAAAAAGTTGAAAGCTTAAGGCAAGAACTGCGCAGAACAGAGAGAGCCAAAAAAGAGGTTAGTAGTCAGGGAGATTTTCTAGTGCCCATGGGGTAGTGATTAAAGCTGCTTTTTCAGATTAGTGGAATAATGTATATCTCCTTCTTTAATTGTTGAAAACCTTTTTTATTTTTTTTTAGTTTGGTTATTTTATTAAATACGAATTTCAACATTTGAGTTATCTTCTTGTTATAAGGTAAATTCCCATGGGGAAAAGCATTTTATTGGTAAAACAATTATAACCATGACATCTGCTCTTTTAATTTTATTTTAAAGCTGGAAGTTCATACAGAAGCTGTGGCTGCTGAAGCATCTAAAGACAGGAAACTGCGTGAACAGAGCGAGCACTATTCTAAGCAACTGGAAAATGAATTGGAGGGACTAAAGGTAGCATCTGATTTCACATTTGTGAAGTTGAATTAATTTTCTTCTCTTTAGGCTTAACAGGAGTGTTAATTTATGTACTCTCTTTGACATGGAGTAAAAACTAGCTATCCTTCAAACCTAGTATTCTTAATTCTCATTCCTACTAGTAGAAAGCTGATGTAGACTTCCTCATCATTCTGGAAGGAAAGGGAAGGTTGTGTTTAGGGCGGAGAAGAAATCTATTGGAAAAGAGTTCAAAATATTTAGGAGAAGGACTGCGCACCTGGACAAGATGGGGGGCATGGTTAGATAACCAGACCCTCTATTTTATAAATGACATAGGAGAGGCTCAAGGATAGCTCTGCAGATACTTCTGTTAGGTGGGATGAGATGATAATGGGCGTGGGCCAACACATCTGAGCAGAAGTGCTTAGCAAGGGAAATCCTGTGTCATCTCTAGAGTTGGACTGCTTGGTTTTACCTCTTAGCCTCATCAGTTACTAGCCATGTAATGCTGGACAAAACATTTAACCTCCACTTCAATTTTCCTATCTGTAAAACCCTATCTCATTGGTTTTATGTAGGGAGTATATGCATATATATGTAAAGCACTCAATAACTCTTAGCTTTGATAATAATGTGTATGTCAAAGTGAGAGAATTGAGATTAAATTGACATCCTATTTCTACAACACTAAATTAAAATCTGAATATGATGCCTGCCTTTTCTTCACTCTGACCTTAGCAAAACCGTCTCCTTTGTGCTGTCCACCAGCCTTCACCTACACCCTCTACTTGCATAACCATGCATAGTCTAGTCTTACTCATCTGGCAAATATAAGAATCAAGTTGAATGTCATCTCAGAAGTCTGTGCTACTATAGAATTCTGTTAATAACTTTAGCATAGCTTTTATTGTATTTATCCACAAAATGTCTCCCTGCCTAAACTGTGACCAAACCTATTGAAAACATGCAGGTATAGTATTAACCTGGCTCAGGGCCAGATTTTAATACTTGTTTAATAAATGTGTTAAATCAATGAATGAATGTAGAATTGATCAGAACTTTTTCTCTGACTCTTGAATATTAGTGGTTGCAAATGAGGTTTCTCTACTATAAATATAAACTCTAGATTTTATTTCTTATTTTAGGGATTGATTTGTTTTTAATTTTTTGCTTTATCGTGATTGCACAGTCTTGGTCAGCTTTTCCAAGTAGAGGTGTTTCTCCTATGTACTTATGCTTCTGGAACAGGATTAGTTTATGGAAGTCGTTACATTACTGTCTCAAATAATTTTCAGTCAGGGACTGTTTTGTTTCCAGCACTGTTTTTGGTGATTTGGGTAACAAACAATCATAAAGTACAGACTAGAAGGAATCTTAGAGATTATTTGCATTTGAGGAAATTGAGAACCAAAAGAGTTAAGGATTATGTAGTCATAAGTGATAAAATATAGTTTAAATATGGATTATTATTATTAAATATGGATTTTCTAACTCAGTGCCACGTTCTAGCCACTAGTCTGCTTTTTTTTTTCTGTAATAAACACTGCTGCTCTGAAAGCTTTGAATCACATGTATTTACTGACTAATCAAATGCTCATAATCTCTTGTATCATTTAAAATTTGAGATAATAATAGAACTACCCAATGTTAATGCATTTAAAATGCTTTGCCCAGGGCCTGGCAGAAAGTAAAGGGTCAGCAAGTTGGCTGTGATTATTATACTATCAATTCTTGAGGAAATTTTCTAAAACTGGAATATCTTGGTTTAATTTCTTATAAACCTAGTTTGAATTGGTTTTGAAACCTATTTTGACCATTCTAAAAGGCTGTAGGAATCTTCAGTCCACTAAGAATACTTTTCAATAGAATTGAAGGGAGAAATAATTCTTGAATAACAGAAAATTCAGTATCCCATTTCCAATAATGCATAGAACATATAGACAGAAGATCAGTAAGGATAAAAAGGTCTTGAACAACACTATAACACTATAACCAACTGCTGTGCTTAGTGGAAGGCACTCAGCACAGCAGAACACACATTCTCCTCAAGTGCACATGGTATATTCTCCAGGATAGGCCAGATGTTAGGCTACAAAACTAGTCTCAAAAATGTAATAATATGGAAATCATACAAAGTATCTTCTCTAGCCACAATGGAATGAAGCCAAAAATCAGTAACATAAGGAAAACTGGAATGTTAAAAAATATGTGGAAATAAAACAAGATACCCTTAATCAGTGGATCAAGGAAGAAATCAAGGGAAATTAGAAAAATACCTACAGAGGAATCAAATGAAAACACCACACTGGATGCAGTGCTCAGAGATTTATAGCTGTAAATAACTATATTTAAAAAAGAAGGGTCTCAAATCAGTTACATAATTTTATATCTTACAGAACTAGAAAAATAAGAGCAAAGGAAACTCATAGCTAGCAGAAGGAAGGAAGAAAGGAAGATTAGAGCAGAGTTAAATAAAATGAGAATAGAAAAATAATGAGAATGAAACCAAAAGTTGATTTTTTTGAAAGATAAAATTGACAAACCGTTAGCTAAAAGCACACAAATTACTTAAAATGACTCAAGAAAAAAATAGAAAATCTAACAGACATATAACAAAAAGATGTAATGAGTAATAAGAAGACTCCTAACAAAGAAAAGTCCAGGGCCACTTGCTTTCACTAGTGAATTAAACCAAACATTTAAAGAAGAATGAATACCAATCCCTCTTAGACTTCTCCAAAGATGACAAGAGTAGGAAGTACTTCTCAACTCATCCTTTAAGGTCAGCATTACCCTGATACCAAAGCCATATTAAGAACATTACAAGAAAAGAAAATTACAGACCAGTATTTGTAATGAATATAGATGTATAAATCCCCAGCAAAATCCTGGCAAACCAAGTCCAAAACCATATTAAAAAGATTAAGCACCATGACAGTGGATTATTTCAGGAATATAAGGGTGGTTCAATGTAAAAAAATAATATAATACATGACATTAATAGGACCTGAGAGGGGGAATGATTTTCTTAATTGAAGCACATAAGTCATTTCACAAAATCCAACATCCTTTCAAAATGAGAACTCCCAGAAAACTAGGAATAGAAGGAAACATGTTCAACATGATAAAAGATATTTATGAAAAGTCCACAGTTAACATCATACTCAATGTTGAACAAACACTTTCTTCCTAACATTAGGAATGAGACAAGGATGCCCATGTTTACCACTGCTATTTAATATTCTACTGGAGTATCTAGCCAGAGGAATTAGACAAGAAAAAGAAATAAAAGACATCCAAACTGGAAAGGAAGAAGTAAAACTATCTCTGTTCACAGATCACATGACCCTTTATATAAAAATATTCAAAAGAATACTCCCAGTTTCCAGTCCAGCATATAAGAAGCTTGGAAGCCATGATGTTTGAACAAGTAAACAGCTGAATAAATAGAAAAATCAACAACTCTTCTTATACCTATAGGAGAAGTGACATCACAGAACAAGCTGCTGCCCCTAAATTTGGAGAGACTAACAGGCAAATACAGAGACTCACAACTTAGCAGAAACCTTTGTAGGAATCAGTGCCAGTGTTTGGAAACCTGAACTACAACTGAGAAATCATTAGAGGCTCATTGTAGACAGGTCTGAGATATAAAATCTCCAGGGAGCCCAGTCAGTGGGGGTGCTTTTGTGAGTTTTGCCTCCTGGACGTCTACCAGGTTCTCACCATGAATATCAGAGCAAAATCCTTTGTGCTAACAATAGGGGAAACCATGTTGAAATATGCCACAGTATCCTGTTCCTCTTAACAAGGTCTGCCTTCAGGAGAAACTCTTCATCCAGAACCGAACTTGCTCAAGTTTTATCAGAGCCCAGGGGCGCCTGGGTGGCTCAGTTGGTTAAGTTTTATCAGAGCCCAGTGGACTTGAGAGAAGGAAGCCACCCAATCCCAACCTGCTATAGTCATCCTGTCTGAACTAAGGGAGAGAGAATAGCCAACAAGGTTGTCTGACTTTTATAGTCCAGAGGCACCAGCTCAATAAAAGACTGATATCTAATCCTAGGACTGTAGAACACTTCCCCTCTCCCCACAACTTACTGCCACATTACTAAAAGCCTCTTTACAGCTGTTCCTTTTACCCAGCACATCATGTGCCGCCTATCAACAAAAAATTATAAGATATACTGAAAGACAGAAAACACAATTGGAAGGGACAGAGCAAGCATCAGAACCAGACTCAGATATGGCAGAGATGTTGAAATTATGAGATTGGGAGTTTAAAACTATGATTAATTGATGTGCTGAGGACTCTAATGGGAAAGTAGAGAACATGGAAGAATTAAGTGAACAATGTAAAGAAAGGTGGAAATTCTAAGAAAGAACCAGAAAGGAAAGGCTGAGAAAAGAATTTCTGAGCTTGAGGATATCTAAATAGAAACTAACAAAACTGAAAGGCAAAAAGGAAAAAGATTGAAAAAAAAAAAAAAAACAAGAGAATATTCAAATACTGTGGAGCAACTATAAAAGTTATAACATAGGTCTAATGGGAATACCAGAATGAGAAGAAAGAAAGGGACAGAAGAAATATTTGAAGCAATAATGACTGAGAATTTTCCCCAAATTAGTATCAGACACCAAACCACAGATCCAGGAAGGTCAGAGAATACCAAGTACGATAAATGCCGAAAGAACTACACGTAGAGATACCATTTTCAAATTACAGAAAGTCAAAAATAAACAAAAATCCTGAAAGCCAAAGCAAAAAAAAATAAGAGGATATAAGACAAGGATTGCACATGACTTCTCAAACTCATGCAAACAAGAAGAGAGTAGAGGTGAAATATTTAAAATGTTGAGAGAAAAGGAGTAGAAGACAAAAATGGGAATAAAGAACAAGGGCAATAAATAGAAGACAGTAGCAAATATGGTAGATATTAATCCAAAAATATCAATAGTCACTTAGAATATCAGTGGTCTAAGTACATCAGTTATAAAACAGAGATTGTGTCAGATTG